TGCTGTGCTCTGCTGGCGTGCTGTGCTTTGCTGGCGTGCTGTGCTCTGCTGGCGTGCTGTGCTCTGCTGGCGTGTTGTGCTGTGTTTCCTTTGCTCCTTTGTTGTGCTTTGCTCTCCTGCTGTGCTCTGCTGGCGTGCTGTGCTTTGCTGGCGTGCTGTGCTCTGCTGGCGTGCTCTGCTGGCGTGCTGTGCTGTGCTGTGTTTCCTTTGCTCCTTTGTTGTGCTTTGCTCTCCTGCTGTGCTCTGCTTTTTTGTTGTGCTCTGCTCCTTCGTTGTGCCCTGCTCTCTTGCTGTGCTCTGCTCTTTCGCTGTGTTTTGCTCCTTTGGTTGGTTGCTGTGCCCGTAGCGTTCGTGTCTGTTGTGTTTTGCTTTTTTGCTGTGCTGCGGTTTCTGTTTTTGGCTTGAAGCGTCCACTTCACTTGTTTAAATATGCAGTAGTCTTGTCTTCCTTTTTTAGCTCTTCAATGGCGTCGGGCGTGGGTGATCTCCTCGCAGGTGGGCCCCAGCCTTAAGTCTGTCTTTTCATTCTGTATCTTTGGCAGCTGCGTCCTTGAATAGTATTCGTTTTTAATAAGCGTGACAACCTACCGCGGACCTCTAACAAAAGTTCGTGAAGGCATTGACAAGGGCGCTGGCTAAGGATGGGCAGGTACTTCACGTCTGTCGACGTATAAATAGTGCATAGTGTAGTCGCCGGTATGGGTATCTAGTATCTTCGTTTCCTCGTCTTCCTGGGCTAGTCGCGTCAGCCAATGCCGTAGCCTTATCATATATGATCCAGGGACCAGGGCTACCGTGCCCCCCCTAGCGTAGGGGGGGGTGCCGTAAGGTGGGCCAAACGCCGTAGACTAGAGCTGTCTAAATTAGCCACCCCGCATAGCCTCCCCGTAAGACCTGGCGGGCGTCCTATAGACCGCAGAACTAAACCTTCCCCCTTATTATAAGGGGGGGCCCGTGCGTTCTTCGATGTGTGGCGCGCCACGCTTTTGAGCGTGACGCCGCGCGCCTGACGGACGGCATGTCTGTGGGAGGCCTGACGATCTGAGGCACATCGATCCGTGGAAGGCATGACGACAGAAGGAACACCCGCGGGAGACCTGACGACCTGAGGAACATCCCTGGGGGGCCGGGCGATCTGAGGAACATCCGCGGGAGGCCTGACGATCTGCGGGGCATTCCTTTACCTGGGGGCAGGCCTGGCGATCTGGGGGCCATTCGTGTGAGACCTGACGATCTGAGGACCATCCGCGGGAGACTTGGCGACCTGAGGAACATCCGCGGGACACTGATGATCTGCGGGACATCCGTAGGAGGCCTGACGATCTGAAGGGCATTCGACTCCAAAGTGAGTCCCTTGAATTCTAAGGCCAACGAGATACTTATATGTTCCAGGGGTGGAGGCTCCCCCCCTGTGGAGGGAGCGGTGGTGGCGTCCGCGTGCCCGCTTTTCCGCGGTGGTGACATGTAAGGACCGCCGGGGGCAATGGCCTCAAAAGGCGGAGCCGGAGGCCCCTCGCGTGTGTCGGCTCTTGGACCATATCAGGGGGACGGCCTCCGGGGGGAGGAGGCCTCGGCGGCCACGATCGCGCGGCCTGGCCCCTTCGGCCCTCGTCCGCCACCACCAAACGCCTGGGGAGTTGAGGACCAAAGGCGGGGAGGAGTGGGGGCAAGGCGTGCCCGCCTGGGCTGTGTCGGATACATGCACCACGGCGAAAGGGGTCACCGCCTGCTTCCCTCGGAGGCCTTTCACCTCCCAGGAGACTCCCCCAGCGAGGAGCCCGCACCCTGGAGGCTTGTAAGCAGGGCACATGTAACAAGCCGCAACAAGCCAAAGGGGGCCCAGCCTTGCCACCTTTGCCACCTTCGGAGGCCTTGCGTTCCCGGCCTTCGGTGCTTCAACGGCCACAGGGATGGGAGCCTTGTAGGGTCAAGGCAAGAAGCGGGAAGGGGTTGGAGGTGGGCTTTTGGAGGCTTTCCCGCCCGGCTGTCCCTGCCTCGGGAAAACGTGTCAGGGGGGGGAGGTCCCCCCTTCAAAAAGTTGGATCGGGGGGGGGCTTGGCCCCTGGCACATATATTATATGAATGTTTTAGCACATCTATATTCGTTATCGTTTACCCCATGATTGGGCTTAATACCACTAGTACTATAAGTATAAGGAATGAAAAATCGCAAGTGAGGAGTCGTAAGGGGTATGTTTCGTTTAATAGGGTATTTCCGTATCCGTGGCGAATCAGGTTCCGTGAGAACCTTGTCCCCATATTATGTCTGTTGAAGTATTTAGTTGAACTCTCTTCATGTATGGCCGAAGCAGAACAGTCACCTTTACGTTGCGGTGACGTGGAGGCACCCTATCTTATTCCATCCTATCTTATCCTTTAAATTAACCCTGACACGACTAGTAACTGAAGACTAAGCCTGATTTATACTATAGTAAGTATTCATCTACTTACGATTTATTAAGGCTACTGCTGGACCATCCTCAGCATCGTCCTTGGCTCTTTTTTCAAAGGGAAAAAGGGACCAGGGAGGCTCTCAGTGATGCGAGCGCGGTAGCTCTAATATATACGATATAAGGCACTAACTCACGAACAACAAATATCATTTTTACTGTACAAGGCCTACGCTACATGCGAAAGATATGGAATAGTGCTTCCCAATCCGGTGACCGAGGGGGAGATGATGCAGTTCGTGAAAGCTTAAGAACAAATTTTGTACTCAAAGAACCAGTTGAAGGAAGGTTAAGATATTTTGATGTACTTTCTTCATAATTGTGTGCTTGTATCCTAACTACGCACATACTTAAATACTTCTTGAGATTGCTCATGCCATTCGTCTGAACGAGAATGAAACTCGGTGCGAAAAACTCGTACTATATCTTGTTCTCGTATTATACTTACTAGACGCTGCTCCTCACTTTCAATCACTTTAAGTACCACAGGGTCAGTAAAGTTGTACTTACATTAATTCATTAAAGATCTTCGCATTCCCTGGCCTCCTCGTGCCTCTGTTGTTTTTCCGTTTTTTTGAGATCGACATTATACCCTTCCTCCCTAGTTTTTTCGGATAGTACTTGATGGGCGTCGTGCTGCTCAGGTATTGCGCATCTAGGTGTAGTATTCTTCACCTCCAGCACTGTTCTCTCCGCTTCAAAGCTCATTAAAGATCTTCATGAATCTTGCAGATGTTATGCATATGATCCAATCTATCAAACTGGTCAATCTTGTTTTAAGAATACATAGAAATGCTTCGGCGCTTATTACTCTAAAATGCAGTGAACGATGCCTGGGAGCGGGACGCAATGCAGAATCTCGATAAAATCTACGCTTTTTTTGAAAAGCACCACCAGATTTCACTCGACAAAGTGAAGTAGCCTAATAGTGGTCCGAGGTAATATCCAGGAACTGTATCGTCTTGCTGCTACTAGAGAACAATGACTTTTGAGGAGCAAGAAATCGATGATACAGGAGGAAACACAGTGGTAAGAGCATATGGAGGTGAAGCAGGGGGGCCAGGGATATGAAGCTTAGAGACGCTTGTTTCACAGTGACATGGAGGAACAAGAGGAGAGAAGATGTGTTTGAAAGGACGATAGGAATGAATGCTTTTATCCCTTGAGTAGAACTACATGGAAACAATGATCCTGGCTATTCCTCAAGAACCTCATAGAACGTGCGAAAGAAAATAAACGGCTAGCTCTCATCACGAAGCTTCGTTTATGTGAAAATTCAAATTTTCCCTTAATTTTGTTGTCCTTGAATTTCTTATTCTCACGAACATGAGCATGATCATGACTTGACAAGACATGATGTACAGACAGTTCGTTTCTCTGTCTCTCACACTCTGGTTGCGGTCCTCGTGGAGATGGGCGAATGCTATTTTTGAAACCATCTACTTCCAATAACCACTACAACAAGAAAGAACATGACAACATGAGAACTTAGAACCAGCAGGAGAGGAAAGACGAAACACGAAGCAGATCTTTCGGTATTTTTTGTCATTTATAAGTATCTTCATTCAAAGTAGTCTACTTTTACAGTTTCACTTGGACTATACTTAAGTTTTTTATTCTGTCTTTAGCCACAGAAAGATGACGAGGCCAGGCAGTAGAGCAGTACCACGTGTAGTGGCGTCGACGTTGCGCATGTTGTATAAACGAGGTGCAGCTGCACAAGAATCGGTGGGGACCGGTGCTGGTCAGTTGAAGGTGGCAGTATTTACGGCGCTCATCTTCTCGACTATTTGCGTTCACCTTGAGTAGATGAATAAGTAATCTGGATCGATAACGAAAAAAAAAAAGGACCGTTGTTCTTTCCAAGTACCTCTCATTTTGGAATGCACGGTGCTTCTTAGTCAGAAGATTTAGATGTAAGTTGGCTCTTCTTAGTCAGAAGTAAATGTTAGTAAATGAAAATGTTAGTTGTAAGAATTTTATCGAGGATTTTCATTTTGTTTAATCACAAGGCTGTTTGCATCCTGCTATTCTAAAGTCCGTTCTCTTGCTGCAGGGATACAGGCTGGCAGCTGGATGCTAGAAGTTCCTGGCGCTAGCTCGAGCATTCTGGAAGTACAAATGCCCTACCTAAGGGCAGCAACGTTCGACTACCTCAGATTGGGAGGAACAAAAGATGATAGTGTGACTGCCCTTCAACAGTTGAAATTGTCAGGTCAGCAGTGCGCTGAATTGCTTGCAGAGGCAGCACAGAGGAGAGCTATAAAACTTCTTCACATGGAAGAACAACAAGTGCTACAGCAACAGCAGGTTGTAGGTCGTTCAGAGAAGATGCATACTGCATGTACATCCTCAAGCTGCTCATCTTCAGTAGACGCTCTTCTTGACGTTTTCGGCATGGGTAGCAACCGTGTCTTAGGTGTAGCCTCGACAGGAGCGCTCGCCTCCAATTACGAGCGAAGAGGCAGCAGTGAGGCCTTTGTCTGTGTAGCAGATGCACGAGGGCCTTTGATAGTCAGACATATAAAATTCAACACTGTCGTGGAGAGGAGCGAAGCAGAAGCAGCTGTTGACTCATCTTCTTTAGTAGCTGGAGATGGACAACAAGAACATTAAGGGTAGGTTAAAGGTGCTTTTCTTACCGCTTTTTATGCCTCTCCTAAGGGAGAAAGGCATAAAAAGCGGGGTAAGCGAGCACCAAAAACCTACCTCTAAGAACAGATTGACGCTGAATCTGAAAAGCAGCAGGCTTTGCGGGAACGTCAGGACTACTTAGTGTCTATGCATGTCATCGCTGTTCTCGCACGCATAGGGCTCAGATCAAGTCCGAACTTCTCAGAAAAGATGGGAGAAAATCCTGTATTGCTTATGTTGAAAGGAAAAAGTCCACTCTTCGTACTTCTCAAGCAATTAGCTGGGATCTGAGTAAGTAGGAAAGTAGCTAATTTCTTGAGTGTGAGTGCAGCACTTTTCCCCTTCATATTACTGCTAGAAGGGGACACAGTAGAGAGAGCAGAGCAGTTTCTAACTGCAACGTGGGAGGATGTCTTCGTGGCTGAACGCGTACGGAAGGATTTCCACAACAATATGAAAAACGAGAAAGATCATGTTGATGCTGAAGTTGATGCAGTTGGTGAAAAAGATCAAGATACTACTGACCAAGTGAACAGGATGCTTAACCCGCTAAAGGCTTTCCTTGCAGACGACACCTCGTCCCCTTTTGGACGTGCGCCTTATCTTGTGAGACCACTACAACAACCACAACTTCTCAACACCACGACTGCGTTAGAACGTCAGAAAGATGGCTGGTATCCTGGCCCGCTTCCATGGCCAGACGAAGGGGTCACTGTCGTTTCAGGGTCCTTCAATCCTATTCACGATGGACATTTGGAAGTGGCGACTGCTGGTTTGCGAAGTGCATTCTCATCCTCGTCTTCGTCATCCCATAGTACTACTACCTCTTGCAGCTCTACTACTAAGTCGACTAGAACAAGAGGAGCTCCATCACAAGTTTTGATTCTCGAACTTCCCGCTCAGAATGCCGATAAGGGGCTTCTGGATGCAAGTGAAGTAGCAAGGCGAGCTGAAGAAGTTGCCACTTTCGTAAGGAAAAATAGGAAGCGGCCGTTGAGAAATGCAAATGGGAAGATGGACGATGGCGAGAACGAGTCTGAGACGAACTCAGCTTCGATCATGGGAAGTGATGTCATCTGTCTTTTACTGATATCCAAACTTATGCATGCTATTGATTTGTCTTTTTTTATCCAAGAGCAGAACTTATACCCCATGAGTGGGTACATCTATCTATCTATCTATATCCAAACTGCAATGATTATGGTAGGACTATTAAATATACCGACGTGGAGGTGATACTCGAGACTTTCGCAGGATCCACAACGATCTTGGTCTTATCTGCTCCTCTACTGTTCTAAGTACTTCTTGTAAAAATAAACGTTCCACTTAATATTTCTACTGTTCTACCTCTAACATACGCGTTCCACTCTTTTCGCAGAAGGCCCATACCATCTTTCCGCATATCGGCGTGCGTTTCGTTGTAGGGGCAGACACAAGCGCAAGAATTCTGGCGGAAAAGTATTACAACAACAGCCACGCGCAGATGTTTCACGAGTTAAAGAGTATGATGCCAGCTAGGTTTTTGGTCGCGCCACGCCTTATCGGGGAGAAGGTAGTTTCACTAGAAGATCAGGAGATACCACGAGGGCTCGAGCCTTTATTTCTCCCAGCTAGTGGATTTCAACGGACAGATGTATCATCCACTCAAATCCGCGCAGAACGAGGAAGATGAGCTTTATTGGAGAATTCGTGACGCTGTTGTAGTTTTGCAGTTTTGTGGAGGTCATGATGTTGTATGCTTTATATTATTTATGATATATGATAGTCTAAAATAAATGTAGCAACTAGCAAGTGATCGATATCGTCCTAGCACTTGTAGGACAGGAACAAGTTTCGTCGCGCATGAAAGACAATCTGAACCTAACCCTCGTGATTTTTTTAAACGCTTGTTCAGCATCCAAGATGGCTACTTTCTCTTGCCACCTGATTAATAGAACATCAACTGCTAAATGCGTATCAAAAGCACGACCTAGTTCCGGATTTCAAGTCAAACCACATCAAGGACACGCTTCTATTGTGTTCATCTTCTCCCTTAGTGTTTGATGGACTAGTCGGTAATGAATCTCGGTCAATCTGTTAGTCATCATTTTCATTCCTAATTGTTCATTGTGCCCATTGCAGAAAGCAGTAAGAATGCGACGTTGAAAGAGTCCCGGATGTTGAAAGAGTACAGTAGGAGATCATGCACGAGGGCGACGTTGGCAGTACCCGATGGTCGACGATTATGTACTTGCATCGGTACTGCAAATCCTCAGTTTTAAAGTAGGTCCAAACACTGCCCCCGCCCAAGAAGAAAGGCCCAAGAAGTAGTTTCTTTCAGAGCAGATTAGCTTTGTTCTTTCACATTCAGTTTCACGGAGTCGGTTTCTCTTGTTGAAGTGATTCGTAGAGTACCTTGTTGTGTCATTAGGTAGACATGATCATCTCGAACACTGGTCATCGTTCGAGTAGATCATCTCGAACACTGGTCCTCGAGAAGTACATGATGTTGTAGAAGTTCTTGATGATGATCGAGTTCCTCCTGTAGAAGACTTCTAGTTCTAGTTCTAGTATCTATATTGTTGAGGGTTACCACATTGCATTCTTCACTACCATCCTTGACTTTTTTTTGAAAGGGGTCAAGGATGACCTACACTACACTACATATTGACGACACGACTACACTACATCGAGCCTATCATCGCAGAATTCCATCATTGTCGGGGGCTCTCTATGCATAAGACCAAGCAGTGGAACATAAAGCCAGTCCAAAAAGATGGACGATGCCTCACCAGTGAGAAGGAGAGAGTTTCTCGATCCCGCTTCTGCGACCGAACGACGGACTTTCCCCGCACAACCGTTGAACTACTCTTCGTCGGCTTTGTTGGATGCACAACGAGGACAAAACGGACCAAGTTCCTCCTGGGACAGGCTACGCCCAGATTTGAAGACGAACGCAGACGAGCAGTTAAGGCTCAACTTTCCTTGGCCATTCTTGGGGTTCGTTGGTCACTGAGATCGAAGAGGAGACCCCTGGAGAGAACGGGGAAATTTAAGGAAAAAAGGGCGAGGAGCTTTGAGTTTGAAGGTGGTCTCTTCCGTTCAGAATCAGTGACCACTGACTGCTGACCTTCATTAAAGCAGGCTGCAAATCATGCAAATGTTTCTGGTTCATCTGAGTCATCCACATCGGCAACTTCAAGTGTTGCGTCAGGACGTGACGAGCAAGATGCTCCTATGAGCAGTGTTGAGCTAGAGGAAGAAAAAGCGCGATTAGCACAAAGGATGACGCAGCGAGGCTCGGTCGTAGGATCACGCGGCGTGCCAACTTAAGGACTGGATCTATAGAATTTGAATTTCAACATATTCACAAGTTGTTACCTAATCTAACTGCTCCCAAGTTGTTACCTCTTCGTTTTCTAACCTTCAGTCTTCACCACGACGATAACTCCTCGTGGCACGTTCACGTCTACGGGAGGATACACGCCACCTGCACAGAGCACAGGACCACCAGACGCTAACAACAGTGACATATTCGACCGCGAGAAGATGGACGAGCGAGAATGGTATCTCGAGAAACGAACACTCTATCGACGCGAATTGTTTCATTATGGTGGATGTTGATGTACTTGGTTGATTGGTGTCGTGGGTGTCTATGTCTACAGCCACTTTCTTGGTTGGAAAGTTGGGATAGTGATGTATCTATTTTGTTGACACTAGAAATCGTACACCAACAGTCAATTCATACTTCTCTACTACATTTACATCACGAGAAGAAAAATCGTATCCACGACTTACATTCTCTAATCCCAAGATCTCCCTCAGTTTTACGCAAAATGTTTATTGTGGCCTTTGCTTCCAGCGGCTATGGGAGGCGCTCTGCAGGTAGCGCTGGATAGAGCGTTGCCTATACCGCAAACCAGGCCATGGTCTGCACAAATGGCGATGGGGAGATTGTACTTGTTATGTTGCTTCTTTGTGGCCTCTAAGTATGATGCCTAATGCAAGAGCAGACTACCATACTGCTGGAGGTCCTTACTTTTTTTCAACATTCATCTGATTCACATTGTGTAAAAATTAACTAAACGTACTCATCCACCCGCCCCTATCCCGCCTTGCTTCTCCGCCACATCCCAGGTATTTCTTTTTCGCTTTACAGTGTCCGTTGCAGGCGATCCATGAGCGACAGTCTGCGTGGCATTGGGCCTTTGCTGGAGGCATGGTAGGAGCGTTTGATTACCATATGGGCAACGCTACGTTGGTCTCAGACTTCTTGCGGAACTCAGAGTACTTTGAACTCCGTAAGAACGCTAAACGTGGTGATTGGAGGTATTTGTTGCGGTATACTCAGCCAGTGCACATCAGCTTCTGCACCTACGCTCTTGGTGCGGGCTTGCTTGCGCGGTTTGCTGGGGTGCCGTGGTGAGGGCGGTAAGTCTGAAGTCTAAGAGTGCGGTGAAACATAAAAAAGAACTATGATGGATTTCGCATAGCATTTGTTGGTTCATTACCTCGATACATATTTGCCCTTCGTTTTTATGAATCATCTTGGTTACCAAGAGGGAGCTCATGCCCACTTTCTTGTTTCAAATGCGTGCTTGTACATATTTGTCAGGTAGGCACACACAGACATTCTAACAAAGATACAACTACTTTCTTGTATAGATTGTGAACAGCAGAAAGCTCGCCCATTGTTATGTATGCAGATACCGAGCTAGTTGTTGTAGGAGGAGAGTCATAACATAGGTAGCACTCGTAGGAGAAGTGGAAGGAATAACATCAAGGTCGAGAGACTAACTACACTGTATACGACTCTTTTGGACATGAAATGTAACAAAAATCACGACCGCGTAGAGAATTATAGGTGTTGGAGGGATCCCTGTATAGCTATAGTTTTCCACGACGGTATCTTCTTCCTAAGACAATTCGGGCTCCATTGTAATGATCGGAATTTGTTCAGCAGGGAACACAGACAAAAATTTCACCTTATCAGAGGATAAGCTTTGTACCGAAGTTAGCACCGAATGTTCCTGAATATCTTGTCGGTGCCCTTCATCCTCATGATATGGTAGATGTGAATGTTCTGGCAAGGTATCTGTTGGATCGAAAGTACTTCTAGACCGAGACCACTGCCGTGTGCGGGATCATGATCTGAGTCTGGTGCTACCTCAAAATTCCAGAAGTGCACATGAGGGAATCGCAGTATAGACATGACTAGTATGTGGCTTCCCCATTTGTCTTTTTCATGATGTCTGTGAAATGCACTGATGTTTTCTGAGCCCAGACTTCTGGAGCCCTGGCCGCTGCCTGTCGCAAGCCAGAAATCTCTTAGTCTTAGTCTTAGATGAATTCTTGGATCCACTTCATCGTATCAGGTGGATCGCTGTAGACCAATTGGACAGGAAGTCGAACAGTCCTGTAGAGAGGAATTCACGTGTAAAATCAAAAAATGGCTTTTCTTGAGTTCGAGGACAAGGCAGGCAAATGGAGCATCTCTCAAAACCTTGCGACGACATTAGAGGAACTAGCAGCTTGGAAAGAGGGTGATGCTGCTATTGCACACGTTTTTTTGAAGAAAGTTGCTGGGACTACGGAAAATTCGTGCGCTGGCCCTGGTCGTCGAACAGCTTTGCATCTGGCAGTAAGGCGTGGCAATGTCGATGCGGTCAAGTTTCTACTAGACAAAGCCACGGTAGACGTCAATGCCCAAGATGGATGGGGTGACTCAGCATTGCTGATGCTCTGTGAGTTAGCTGGTGGTGGCGGTGGTGGTTCCTCGTCATCATCAACGAGCACTAAAAGGGGAGAAGATCATGGGAACACAAAAGATGATGGAGAAGCACCTTCCAATTTCACAGAAGGCGTGCTGCTCACACTCCTCAAATGCCTGTTGCAAAGGGAGGACTTAGACCTGAACCTGCAAAACGAGATGGGAAGTACCGCTTTGCACCTTTTAGCCCAACAAAACGCATCGAGGAAAGTGCTGGAACTGTTGTTTCAGAAGAAGACGTTAGATGTGAATGCGGAAAACCTACGTGGGGAAAGTGCGCTGATGGTAGCAGTGGCCTCCGGATCCACGACGTTCGTGGAATTGATGGTCGATGCGTTTGGTGGCGATCTAGACCTCTCCCTACAAGTCGACTTGGGGAAGGAAAAATCGTTGATGTTATGAAGATGAAATTGGTGAGATATTACTTCTTAGATAGAAGTACAAGTAGTTGTAATCGTTGTACTTGTAGTATGTTGTAATCGTTGTACTTGTAGTTGTAGTATGTTGTAATCGTTGTACTTGTATGTTCTAAGCAGCAGATTAGGTGGATTATGTTGTAATCGTTGTACTTGTATGTTGTAAGCAGCAGATTACGATTAGGTGGATTACTAGCGACTACACTCCTCAAATCACAGATTTCATATTGTCAAATTTACATGATAGATCTAGAGTTTCTTTGTATCCATTTCTAACCTCGGACGAAGGAGACGGCGACTCTCTCTTGCTGTACGCTGTGCGCAATGGGCGGCAAGAGATTTTGGATGCGGTATTTGGATTGAAGCTGAAAACGACAGAAAAGGATGAATCTTCAAGAAAAGCCACGATTTTAGACTCCATCCGCAGCGAAGAGCTCTTAAACGTCGCCAACAAAAAGGGCACTGTACCGTTGATTCACGCCTGCGCACTAGCTGGGGAGTCTCTGCGGATGCTGGATGCGGTCTTGAAGTGTGCGGAACAGCTGTTTGTCCGCGAATTGAAACTAATTTGTGCTGCTGATTCGAACGGAAAAGATGCTTGTTCGAGTGCAAGAAATCTGGAAGAAGCATGCTGTCGCATCATTCAAAGCTCGACGTCGGAAGAGGACCGAGAGAATTTAGACCAGCCACCCAGCATCATCGAACTTGAGACTACCTCCGACAAAATTTTCGAAAACTATGACGCGGATGTGGAGGTCTTCGACTTGAATCACCAGGATAAGCGTGGAAACACGTGTCTTCATATCGCTGCAGCCTTTGGCTACGCTTCGGCAGTTGAGAAGGTGATGCGATGGAGTAGGAAGATGGGAAGTGTTCGATTGATACCTCCTTCTAGAGAAACAAGTGCGTCTCCACCCGAACAACTACTCTCCGCGACATCACCAACCACGTCAGGAAAACAAGGTGAATTTTCACCCCCCTCTAGATCAGGTTCTACAGCCACTGCTGGTGCCACTGCCAACTCTTCTGATCAAAACAAGGCAAAGCCTTCGAAGCCCTTAGTTACCCCATTGGATCTGAATCTCAAGAACCGGGAAGGCTTGAGTGTATTGCTACTCGCGGCTGGTGCTGGACGACTACAAGTTTTAGAGACGCTTTGTCTCGAGGCTGAGGAAACTGCTTTTAGCCGTGGCGTTGCGGCTGACGTGGAACTGGACATGAAAGGCAAGGACCCAAAGGGCAAGAATGCGCGACAACGTGCAAAGGCTTCGGGTTGTGACGAAGTGGAAGTGTTTTTGAAAAGCTACAAACCAAAACCACGAACATCGGGATTAAAAGGAGACTCTAGCTGCACAACAGGAGATACTTCTGCAAAAGCGACAGGACCCAAAGCCAAAGCGAAAGGCGCAAATAAGAAAAAAAGATAGAAATTTGCTGTGGTCGTCAAGCAAAGCAGGGTTGCTTTTGTTGAGTAACGCACATGCGTGCTGATCTGAATACGTTGAAGCGTGAGACAGGCTCCAACAGCCGCCTGTTTCTTCTAGCTTGCGCAAGTGTTCGAACCAAAGAGAGAGCTTCTACATGCACACTGCTGCTTTATTCATGTTGTATCCACCGAGTCAGTGTCAGCTTTTGTCTTTTGCGACTCGTGGCGCAAAAGAAGAAACAAATAGGTGAGGACTGAGTTTGAACTCCAGCTTGTAAATGTCTATGCATCTGTGGTAGATGAAACAATGTGTGAATTCTGCGCAGTGGCGCTTTTTATGTCGGTCCCCTCTCAGTCACCCCTCAAGTATTTTCACCCCCACTGGAAATTGCTTTAACTCAACTATTTCTGTGTGCACTTGTCGAGTCAGTTCGTTTGTGTGAATCATTTTCACCAATTGGGCTCGACTCTTTATGTATCTTGTTCTGAAGTTTTTCTGAAGTTGTCAACAGAAAACCGAAAGCAAAATCGAAATATGAATGGATCATGGTCGTGATGGTGGTTTTGAATACTTCGTGCGCCTTCCGTCTTTAACCATAAAGATGACGGGACCTCAGGATGACGTGGGGACCCCGTGATCCTCGTGGCTTCATCAACCACCATCATGAATGTGAGTATCTCGCAGTCGCATCGAGATGTCGGAGGTGAACCGCAGTGAAGCTCTCCTCATTCGGCGTGGGCGTGGCAATGCGACGTCTTCAAGTAGGAGAGCTATAGTACAGCCTGAGCCGGATCTCGATGGCAACGACCATGACGGAGCTTCAACGACAGCTAGTCGCTGGTCTGCGGCGCCGTCACTCCACCCGAGCTTAGCTGGTGCGCAATCTGTGGCGTGTAGTGATTAAGGCGGCCATTCGAAAAGAGTCAGCCTAAGAGATTTTTAGGTGTACCATGTGGACTACTAGCATGGTATTTGATGAAGGATTATAGAAGTTGTGAGTCAGCTGTCTGCACGAGCAGGACGTACGTCCACCTAAATAAGTAAGTAAGTACTGCTAAAGTCCAGTGACCATCGGTGCAGGCGACGAAACGCTATACTGGGACTACCAGCACCGATTAACACTCCGCAGCGATCTAGGGCATAAGTGTAGGGAGTGTCGGAAACCGTTTTCGAAAATTGGGGAGCCTATAACTGAACGTCGCGGCAGTCGTATCGCCTGCCGCTACCATGCTGCTTGTTTTAGCGGCTATGCTGACCCAAGATCGCAAGCACGATCATCGACTCATGATTATGCAGCGAGATCTACTCTAAGTCTAACTTCTTCAAAGACAGAGAAAGGAGAAGATCAAGAAATAAAAGCTAGAAGGAGAAAATATAACTTCAAGTTCTTGCTCGTCTTTTATTTCGCCCAGCACCTCTAGACTTTTTCTAATCCATAGGCAACCTCGTTGGCACACAGTTTGAGGCTGCGCCTGGCACGCCTTTTTCAAAAATGCGAACCGATACACATTTTTCCACTGGTGGGTCGATGACCGGGAAATCAGTGGGAGCCCAGATGGCAATGGGCCGATTGTCTTTTTCGCGGTCGAGTAGAGGCGTTGTAGCGTTAAGGGCTTCTGAATTGCACTCCTCACTACCGTCCCTGACTGGTTTCCTAGTAGAAAAGAGGCCAGGGATGTTCTGCTTCTGAAGAATGTAATTCCGTAACCTCTAATAGCGGGATCTCCAGGCACGACCACAGCAAAACAAGTTCCTTCGGAGACAGATCCAAACGCATTGTCGGCATCTAAACTGGCGGCACTTCCCGTGGTTGCTCAGGGAGTACCGACACCAAGTCATGAAGGACCTTCATTGGAGAGGAAAGTTGTGGAAGAGCCTGAGGAGCATGATGCTGGGGAAAAAGGGTAGAACTGGAATTTGAAATATAACATGAGGGGAAACGCCGGAAAATTTCGTTCACTACAGAGTGAACATCATCGAGGTTGTGCATGATCGATGGAGAAGGACTAGATCAGTCAATCATCTACATCTGGGTTACAACCTTAAATAATAAATACTTCTAAGAAGTTACTACCCCATTGTTCCGGAAAAACTTGGTATGATATCAAAGCATAGTCACAGACGAGGAAAGCAATCTGGAGGAGTGCAAACTACAGCTTCTTACCAGAGAGAACTGGAAATTTGAAAAAAAGAATAGACCACAGTTCGAGTTCTAGCTTCCACATCTTCTATAAGGAATTGCAAGCTGACTACAACACCGTCTTCACGGAAAATCTTTGTCGGTGGACGAACTTCCTGCAAAAAAATTTAGGGGAGAAAGAGCAAGAAGTACTTATACGTAGTAGTTTGCCTCTTAAAATTTCAGGCCTTGATTCGGTCTTTTCTTTGATTCCACGGAAAGAATGAGATGGCTGGCTCAACAGCAAGTGGCGGTGCAGCTCCATTTGGGCTGAATTTGAACGACAATTCACAATTCCTCGCTTTCTACTTCGTATGCAACGGCTTCGTCTGCCTAGTCATTTTCGCGGTCTGTTGGTCCTTCGATTTTTTCTCCAAGCGAAAACAGCAATTATACCTCATTTTCCCAGTCCAGGACGCCTATGATATTAAGGCAAATTCGAGAGCATCCTCAGCGTCATCCGTGGCCCTTTTTCTAAGTATTTACGTGAAAAGGGGTCAAGGAAGATGCACTCAGGGATGCGGTAACTCTAATGATACGGGTCCCGAAATCAAAGCGCCAAAACGCGCAGGAACGATCGGAGCAATCTCACGTACTAGTGTCGAACCATCTCCGAGGGGGTCAACTGCGAGTGAGATAGACGCGCAACAGACGGCGGTGCTTAATCTTATGACAATGAGCCAGTTTAAGTCGATATAGGTGAACATCATGAGAGTACTTCTTAATTTTATTTAAAGAGGAGTTTCTTGTACAGAGGCATTTAAACGAAAGTGGTTACTGCTCGTTCTGGAGGTGGGGTGTTTTGTCTTCTTACTTTCTCGAAGAGGAGGACAGGATAGATAACGAAGATGAAAAACTTTCTGGTTTTTTGAGAGTGAGGAGTCAAATTCACAACTCGGATCTTTTATCACTCTAAAGACCACCGAACGAGCGGGGGTCTTCGAAGAAGTGCCTCGGTCGATGGAGCAACGCGTTTATCATCAACTTCTAGTACTGATAGACATAGAGGAGCAGTAGTGGGACGCGGCTTTGTCGAGCACATCAGATTATCCTCAGATGCAGCAGAAGCGGGTACAGCAAACGACAATCAAGCTATTGATGGCGGAGGTAATCAACGAGCAACATCAAGTGGGTCTACTGGGTGGTGCTCATCTGGCTGCTGCGGTGCACGAAAGAGGAACGACGATGATTAAGGGTAGGTTAAAGGTGCTTTTCTTACCGCTTTTTATGCCTCTCCTAAGGGAGAAAGGCATAGCAAGCGGGGTAAGCGAGCACCAAAAGCCTACCTCTAAGATGAGGAGATAAGTCTGCTCACTGAAGAGCAAGATCAACATGTGGCTGGAGGTGATACTACCGAGGGCCAAGGCGCTGTGGATGGAGCTGAACAAGAGTCAGCCTCAGGATCCTCTAGTCGTGGAGGTGGCTCTTCCTCTAGCCAGCAAGGTAGAAGAGGTGCTACAACGAGCTCAGGAGCATCAACAGCCGAACCTAAAGTTAAGGGTACCGTGAGAGCGTATAATATAGATACACCATTTTTTACTCAGCTTCTACTTCTTTCTTAGAAACGTCGAGTGAAAGACTGACGTTCCAAGAAAAGATGTCCTTTGGGTACCCCTAACAAAGTGTTTTACGATGGAATGCCCACAGCCTGGGGCTTCGCTTGGATCTGGTTTCACGAAATATTTTTCCGTGGTGTCCAACTCCCCAGGGAAGAGCGTAGTCGTCGTTTGGCCCTACTTCGCGCTATCAAGAAAGCAGAACGGGAATGGTACATACGACGTGTGGAACGACGAACGATGCAACAGACTTCTGCTGCAGGATCCGGGTCCAATAACGAAGGAAATAATAGTAGTAAAATAAGTAGACTCTCCACCAGTTCCTCAATTAGAACGCTTGGGAGCAGTGTTGGTTCAACAGGAGATAGCGCTAATGGCAGGTCAGGCAAGTTTGGAGGATCACAATCAGCGTCAGAGAATACGCTTACGACCCGTGGGTCCGGTTCTGGCGGCTCTTTTGGTGGCCTCGCAAATAAGCACGGGACGTCAGCCAGCAAGCTTGCCGGTATGTCTGCCCATGGCACTCTGTTTGTCGACTCACAAAGCGCTGGTCGTGGTCTGTCACCAAGTTAAGATCGTAGTTTGTCAGAACAGGAGTTTAGTTTTTGTTTACTGTCTAGAAGTAGCTACAACTTAGGCAGAAGTGTGACAACTACAAGCGAACAAGGAGAAACCCGTCCGGTATACAATAATACCACAGAAATTTTGGTTGCTTACCGTAACCTACGTGAAGAAGATGAGGAACAACTACTACAGCTCTAACCAATAGCTGAACAACAAGAGCCCTCACCGCAAAGTGAGCGTGATGAGATGAACTTGTTGATGTCCGAAGGTGATGAGGGCTCTGGCGTTCTGCCGTTTCCGCCTTCCACGGTTAGCGGCTTCCTCGGACGGTGGTTCGACGAAACCGTTTTGGGGCTCCAGCATGGCGAAGTTAGCGGCAACGTGAGACGTATGGCACATAGTGTATCGAATAGCGTCGAACAGCGGTCTGAGCAGTTGATAAACCCATTTGGCTGGTGTTTTTCTGCGCCACCTCAGAAATATCATATCCTGGACACTATTGATGAAGATGCTGCAGAGGGAAGTGAGCAGGATTTTGTGCAGGCAGGTGACCTGCTAGAGGATCACGAACAGAAGAACACATCGCCAAGATCAAGAATACCTTCTTCACCACCTGTTCCTGTAGAAGAGGAGGTTAAGAATATCCTCGTCGGTGTCGAGGGTATCCACCATGCTGCAACGCCATCGGGGACGAGGTTAGCATCTCCAGTAGGCTCAAACGCTTCCCGTAGCAGCTCTTCATGCACTGGAGGTCGCAAAAGATCGCGGTCACCAACTACGAGTGTAACTGCTGACGCTCCTGCATCTCCTGATGTTGACAGTCAGGCTCAAGAGGACATGAAGGCGAAGTCTCAATCTGGCAGAGGAGTGTGTACTCCTGTAGTAGATGGACATGGAGGAATATACGTGATAACAACTGGTGTTGGGCTTGTTCTCACAGGAGTCGAGGAAAGTTCAAATGATCTAGCAGGTCTTGCTGTCAACAAGGATCCCTCTGATCCTGAAGAGCTACAACCACTAGAAGTAGGACTTCATCTTCAGGCCCCAACATCCTTCGTGCAACCTGAAGTAGTTGAAGATGGCTACCATGAGATAGTTGAAAATGTCGTCGATGTTCTAGGGACACCGTCGCCTTCGAAGATATCACATCAACTAGTACGGGACCACGTACTTGCAGGCGACGACGGTCCTAGAAGAGGTGAAGACCTCAGTACACAAGCACAAGGTGATCAACAACAACATCCTAGTATCCCCGCATCCTCCCCATCGGATTCGATCTCGGCAGATGTGCAGTCTTCTGCTGCTCACGTTGATGCGGAGAGGATAACTGAGAACGACCATGAACAGAATCTGTTATTGCGGCAAACTGTAGGAGAACGACCACCGGGAGAGGGTTCACATCAGGCCAATCCAGCTAGTGGCTTCACATCCACGCATGAAAGCGAGACAGAAACCTTTGCTGAGCAAGGTGGAGGGCCGCTTTCATCTAGGTCCATAGGAGAACAGGGAGAACATGCACAAGGTACAGGACGAGCTGTAGTTACATTTCCTTCTAGTGAAGGGAAAGACAATACAACTACCGGAGAAGTACAACAAGTACCAGAAAAAGCGGATAAAGTAGAGGTAGCTGAGACAACGACCACACGACCAGTAGTAGCGTTCACAGTTAAGGCTGTACCTAATACATCTTTGGCCGCATCCTTGAAACGTATGGAGGAGTATCCTAGTAAGGGAATACCCCCCCCCCTACTTTTCAAGGATGCACTTGAGAGATGAATTACGGACAGCTCTAACTACACAGGGCATAGCTCTCCGCCAACAGGAGCGACTTCCAGCGCAGATCCAACACGCGGAGGACTGAGCAGTCACCAGACATCCCCACCATCGGCCAGACAATCGGCACGGTTGCGGGGTTCATTAAGGCTGTGGGAAATCCATCATCTCCAAATGAGGCATCTTCTGTGAGAGAGAAGAAAACAAGAAGAAAAGGAGCCACAGGTGTGATTTTTGTTGGGATGAATTTCCTACACCTCTAAGTTCACCTGCTGTCGTGTCCCCTGGTAGTATCGATGCAGATGACGCAGTACTCTCGACGCTGACGGATTTGAACCGAAGTACAGCGTTAGCGGACGTTCAGGAAGAAAGAGAAATGAGTAGAGGCGTGATGTTTGCAGAGATGAGTAACACCAGAACAGGAGCAGGAGCATCGAGTTCCTCTAGTGGACGCGGACATCAGCATAACTCGTCTATTGCGCCAAGTCGCGTCCTCAATTAAGGCTTCCCCTAATTTAGATCTTGGCCAGCATCTTGGAAAGGTTCTTTTCAGAGGGAAAGCGGTCATCTTGGGATCCTCTTCAAGATGGATTAGGGTGAGCTCTAAATCAAAAATGACAACAAGAACTCCAGACTGCATCTCATACGTCGATCCGAAAGTTTTGATGGCAGTACCCTTTGTACTAAGAACAATAGCACAATTGGAGGTCAGCATGTTGTAGTAGGTAGAAATAACAGCAAAGACCGCTATGGAAATGGAACTACAGTAGACCAAGAAGACCGGGTGGCAACAAAAGGTGCAAGACCAGGAACAACTATGAAGAATCTGGACCTACTGCGTGCTGCTTTCGATGAGTCAACGGAGATTCAACACATTAGACCGATGTCGGCACGAACGAATGTGATGAATAAGGTGTCTAGTAGTGGAAGTCACACCAGCAATCACAGACCGGGAGAACCGATTGGAGGGATGTACCAGAGTCAATATTTCTCAGACGAGCTGCGACTAGACGTTGTGAGTCGTGTAAAGTCCCCTGTTGGCGCTGTGGGAGTGCTCGACGATCGTCCCACGACAGGACAGAGAGACGGACAGGAGGAGGCGAGAGAGGCACGACTTCTAAGCACACTAGCAGATGGTGGACCACAAGACGACATTTTTGTAGCAGGTTCGAAGCGGAGCAAGCAAAGTAAAAGTTCGATGCGTCGGCGTCCACTTCTTGCGCGCGTCGGAGAGGGAGAGCAGGGCGTGCCAGCAGTATCACCACCGGACCGCTTCTCAAGAGAGTCGGGGATTAGCACCACTTCTAGACGATCCAGCTCAGCGGGGGATATGAAGACAATGGCAGTAGATGACCATGAATGGGGAAGAGGAACTTCAGCTTCAGCACATATTATAGTGAAGGATCAAGCTTTGCAAATGCAAACGTTGTTAGAAGCGGAGAAAACTGGTGTTCCTCTATCTTCGTCTTCTAGCGAAACTGTCGTAGACCCGTTGATCCGAGCTGGTGGCGCGTTGTCGTCTGAAGAATTAGCGATTCTCCAGCTGAGGGTGCACAGATTAGCGCTCCTCAATCGGCAATTCGGAGCACCGTATCAGTACTACGCGTTTCAGATTTTCTTTACCGTTGACGACACGCATCCAATTTCTCCAGTTGCTACGAAGTACCTCATGTTTCTGTGGCGGATATCGCAGATCTTTCAGGCAGTCTGGCTACTAGACTGGGCTTTGAGTACGTTGCACGCGAATCCTTTGTGGGCTGAATGGGCTTTGTCGCTGTGCGTCAGCGGCTGTCGCGCTTTCGGCTTGCTCTGCTACTGGGCAGCAAGGTGGCTGGTTTCCCAAGTGATGGGCTCGTCTTCGGAGCAACACGGCGACTCAAGCAGTGGTGGCGTAGCGGTGGCGTTCTCTGCTGCAAGCATTCCGACGGAGGGGAACGATGAAGCTGCATTCCCAAAACGAACAAGCAGAAGTCGAGATGAGATTGTAGTCACCGATGGTCGAAAAGAAGGAGGCATCCGAGATGACCATCGAATGCGACAACTAGACCAACGAGGATTACTAGAAACAGATCAGCAGGATACAAGTGCAGAGGTTCATCATAATGTGGATCTTCATGAGGGGTCTTCCACGTTCACAAGAAGCCGTGGCTCATTGGTACCTGCAGTTAAAAACGCTTTACTGCAAGTTGGTGCCAATGCCACTGCAGCCGCGCTTTTTACAAACAGCAGGTTGGATGGAGGGGGACTTAGTCTGCATCTGAGAACAGATGGAGAACAACTGTTGCCTTCCAGTACAACTAGGAGCTGGATAGAAGCGCCTCCACGTCCTCCAAGAACAACTTCATCTAGGTATCTGTCATCATCAGAAACAGGGAGTTTTTCAGAGGCCGATCGCTTCGACGTGATCCGGTTTCTCTGTTTTTGTGTTCAAGTTTTCGCTCTGTTCGCTTTCGTCCTAGTAGGCGGTGATCGTATCCGACGTGAGCAGGAAACGATGCCGCACATAGGCGATATGCGCCAGTTTGCGCAGATGTACACCGTCATGCTCACCGGTCTGCCCACTTTCACAGATGCCAAAAAACTTTCAGCACGCAAACTCAAGTACCTACTCGAGTCGCGATTTGGGTTAAAGCAGATTTTATCAGTGCAGATTGTCCCAGCCCTAGCCACTGCGCATGAAGCCTTGCGGGCCTACGAAGACAGTCGTGACAGGAAGTTGGTCTACAAACGGTGGCTACGTGAAGTGCTCAGGGACTATCCGAGAACCAAAAATTGCTGTAGAATTTTGCGGAATGGCTGTCGTAGAATAATCGACTTCGTCACTTGTAAGGCTACGAGATATCCATCTTCACTGTAATCTTGGCTCCGTTTTTAGAGGGAAAAGGAGACCCAGGATGCTGCTCAAGCTGGATCTTCTCTCTTATATTTCTAACACGTGCAAAGCGTGTAGCGAATGTCTCACAGGCTACGACAATCTACGGTCAGAAGATGCGGGACAGAGGATGAAAAATTTCCATTCTGCTCAAGTTGGGACTATGAATACGAGCACAGCGATAGAAGTTCTTGACGAGGACACAACAACAACTCCTGGCCGAAGTGCTGGCCCGAGTGCGAGGCCGTTGCTTGCATCAGATGGAATATCTTCTGCTGAACCAGGTGGACGAGAGAAATACTATGTAAAAAATGCGTCAGCAGCTTCTGGTACTAGTATTAATAAGACAACCTTAACGAAACAAGAAAAGTCTTTGGAAATATTAAAGACTCAACTAGCAGCACAAAACCAAAACAGTCCAAACAATGCACTAAAGAACGTTCTTTCCTCGACCGAGAGTGCGATGACCCCAAGAAACAAGGAAGGACTGTTTGTGCCACCGTTGAGTGCTAGAAGTCGCACAAGTGGCTGGCAGCAGAGTGAGTACAGCAAAACCAGCACTCCACCAGAGACCGCAAGGGGCGCACCAAAGGGAAGCGACTCCGACTTCGCGCAGCAAAGTAGCGCTGGCCGAGCTGGAGCGCCTGAGGGGCGGGTCTCTTTTGACAGCAGTGGAGGCCTTCTTCCACCTGAGCAGGTCTCTTTCGCGACGAGTAAACAGTCTGACGAACAAACCGTAGCCTCGTCCAGAGCAGGCGGAGCAGAAGTCAACAAAAGTAAACCGCGTTTTTTCGGGACAGCTGCAGCCAGAGCGGCTTCAGGACTCCGAAAAGTAATGAAAGTCTTGCCTGGGGTGAGAAAACGGACTAGGAGCAAAGAGCAGGTGGGAGGTAAAAATGATGAAGTTAAGGCTAGAAGAAATCCAATTTCACAGGCATCCTGAGACCGTTTTCAAGGGGAAAAAGGTCTTCGGATGCGTCTCAAGATGGATTTCTCTTAGTTCTAATGAAGGTGCTGGACTGCAAAGCAGTCCTAGAGGTCCTGCTCAAGCACAAGCTGGTGGCACGACGGGTGATGTTGCAGGAGGAGGTGTAGGAAATCCGGGTGACGCCATAATTGCTGACGCATCTCCTTCGGGAGCGAGCTCTTACAACCCAGCAGTAGGGGGCCACGCTAGTCCTGTTCGGGAATTCTCCCCAGCAGCTGGCACGACCATAGGAGGCTCGAAAAAGGGCGTCACTTATAATCTGGATGGCGGCGAACAGTCCGAATTTTCCCTAGAACTGGTTGAGTACAACGAAGATGACCGCAATGCTGGTGGAGTAGGGTCAGGGCTAAGAGCGACAATAACCCCAAGAACTCCAAGAGGCGGTGAAGACATCAACCAAGTAGAGCAAGACTTCAGGCGCGCTAGTTTGACTAGTGTCAGTGCCTTGTCTGGTGACGAAGATGATGAAGAAGACTTCTCCGATCCTAGAGAATACCCCCAGCCTTGGCGAGGTATAATTTGGGCTCCCTATTACGCTTTTCGAGCCTGGAGCTTTTCTCGTTCGGAACAAGCTTATCGACGACGCCTTGAAGAACTGGTGTCCGAGAAATCGCTCATGGGGACTGGTCGCGCGTTTATTACTTTCAACAATCGGCTTTACCGAGACGCAGCACTGGAGAAAAAGGGAGGCGTCGAGGATGGAGGGACATCTTGGCACATCGCTGATCTCCTTCCAGGTAGTTCTTCTTTCGCACCTACGCGGGAAAACTGCGAGAAGATGCTGTGCTGGTGGCGCGACAATCTGAGCGATGATGCCAAGTTCGATGAAACCTTTTTTGACGAACTGTTAGAATTCGAGGAGACGGAGGAGGACGTCTACGGAGCTATCCCAAGAGCGCAACATCGGCAAAGCGAATTCGAGCTGGTGATCGATGACGGTACTTCTAGCAAGGGACGGACCGGCGCATTACTAGATTACGTAGAGCTGTAGTTGTTCCACCCAATAAACTCAGATTGCATCTTTCTACTTCAGTCCGTAGTTCCATCCATCCTTGACTTCTATTTTCATCTACTTAAGCAGATGAGACAGAGACTGACTACTTAAGTAGTCAGGGAAGATGTTCTGAAGTAGAACGCAAGGTAGTCGGAGCTTCTACTAATTAGATGGAACTACGCCGCGACGAGCAGGAGGTCCCAGGGACATCCAGCTGATGGGAGAAAGTCCTAGGGTTGAGGGGAAAACGCCACGTGGCGAAGGAGCTACGTCGCCTCTGTTGGGAGTCGATCATAGCGCTTCCCAGGTGGACCCTCCGCACTCCAGAGCACCTTCTCAGCAACAACAGCAGCCGCCGTCGACTCATTCCTCTCCTAGATCGACGCGAAAATACTCTTTCGCGTCTGCGTCACCAAGAATATCAAGTCAGATGACTGATGGGGCTGCTCGACCTTGGTCCATATTCGTCATCTTCACGTTCATTTATGTTATGGTCCAAGATCAGTAGAACTAGATCCTCCAGACACTAAGAGCTCACAGACACTAAGACACTTCTAAGTATAGACATAGAGCAATGTAGCAACTACCATTATATATATTTATAAGATCTAGATCAATTAAGGGTAGGTTAAAGGCGCTTTTGTTACCGTTTGTTATGGCTCTCCTAAGGGGGACAGCCATAACAAGCGGGCTAAACGACCACCAAAGGCCTACCTCTAAATCAACGAGTACACCACCACCAGCAACCTCCTTGTTTAGTTTCTCAACGGGCCTTCTTTCATGCCAAACGCAATGTATTACGTTGGAAGCCTATTTCTTATTCGGGCACGCGAACGCGGCGTCGCTTTGCACACGCGATCACGGACATTTGCGGAGGTAGCTGCAGGTGTTGAGCAAGCTAAAAGTGAGCTTCTAGCGAATCCTAGATTAAGGTCAACATTTAGTGTCCATCTTTCTCGGCATCTCGGTACCCTTTTCCCTTGTATTCTCATGAGATACAAGGTAAAAGGGGTCAAGATGAGGGGGCCGAGATGCAATCTAGCAGACTCTAACTAGACAGTGGGCAAGGAAAAAGGAGCAGCACCAACGCGAGGTTCGTCGATGGGCAGACGAGATAACATTGTGGCCGGCTCCAGATGTTGTTGATCTTGATTGGTCGAACTTAGACACGAGCTCAAGCGAGAGTACCCAGTGTGGCGTAATCGTTTCCATCGTGTTGCTTCTGGCGTTTACCCTCATCGTCACACCTGTGACACTGGCAGAGCAGCTTTTACCTGGTTTCTTCACGTTAAGGCCAGTTTATCACTATCCCATGTGGCTTATGCTGAGTGCGTGGGTTCCCTCTGACTTCAAGGGAATTTATTGGAGGGGAAGAAAGGGAGGCCACTCAACTACGGATAGGGAAAACGAAAAACTAGCGTTAATTACGAAGGCAGCAGAAGTGGCACACTTTGTAGCAGACACGGCGACAGTCCTCACGGGGGTCCAGGACATGCATAAGACCCATCGGTGGGCCTCATCTTCTGCGACGGGGTCATCAGGCTCAGATTCGACCTTTTGGTCCCTTTTTTCAAGGAGTACGATAACAGAAACGACAACCGTCGCTGGCGGGTTCTGGTCGGCGATGAGTGATGAAGAAGGGGGCGGAGGTCTCCAACAGATACAGAGGATACTTTTATCTTCGGACGACAACATCTTCAGTTCTTCAGAGGAGGACGGAGACGAAATTTGGTACATTTCCGCGCTGTGTGCCCAGTATTTCCCCACACTGTTGCTCATTTCCGTGAATAGTATCCTTGTGCCCCAACTAGTGCAGCAAGTGGCAGAGCAACAACGGTTCTGGAGGAAACAGCGGGAATTCGAATCCAGTTTGATATTGAACTACGTCTTCATGTTCATCAACTTGATTCTGATTCCACTCTTCGGCGTCGATTCACTGCGCGCGTTGCTGGCGAGCGCGTATGAGGGAACTTTGGCAGGGACGGTCCACAGTTTCACAAAAGACTTGCATAAACAAACTGTTAGATGGCGCCTTTTCGCTTTGAAATATCTGATCTCCACCTTGATGGTCTCAACGGCCTTGCAGTCGGTGCAGGCACCGCAGATACTCTACCAAAAGATAGCCAATTTTAAGGCCTGATAACGCAGAGAGCGTCCTCAAGAATCAATGCCATCGATCCTTGGTTTTTTTCCAAAGGGGAAGAAGAGTCGCCAAGAGAGCGTCCTCTTCGAATGCCATCCACTGTGGTAGCGTAGCTCTAACAACTTCTTCGCAGTGACGCATGCAGATCGACTGGCGACGCAAAATCCGTTCGTTTTCGACTTCGGGTACTGGTACGCGTTCACCTCAATCCTCTTTGCCTTGACGCTCATTTTCGGTGTGGTCGAAAGGCTGGCAATAAACAGTCCTTTTCAACCGGATTACGTTGCGGCGGTGGTGGAATTAACAGTCCAGGAAGAGGATGCAGCCGATGCAGAGGGTCCTTCGTTTGGTTTGGCGTTCATGCTTGCCTTTGGCGTCTTTGTTGCGAAGTACGGTGTGGACAAGTATTGCTTCATGTTCTCCATGTTCTCCAACGTCACGCTAGGCTTCCACTTCAGCGACAAGAACGATTGGTCCAAGGCGAAAGCCTACGTTAAGGCCAGTTTTTCGCTATCTCGTGTGGAGTCAGTCTGGTGAACAGTGGCGTTCCCCCTGATTTTTTAAAGGGGAAAATTATAGCCAGTATAATAGTATTTTTTGATAATATTGTTCAATAAGGGAACGGGAAGATACTTGATAAGGGAGGAAAAGGGACACGTCGCACTCACCCAGGCATTCTCATTCATAGCGAAAGACTAGCGTTAACTACAGCACTCGAGGCGTAGCCTTGGAGCGGCAGATGATGTTTTTCTTCTATTTTGCCATGATTTTCGCGGCGGCGGTCGTCTGCTTGATCTTCCTGCATTTCGGTTTCCGATTGGCAGTACTAGAATTAAGGCTACAATCCATCTTGCCCAGCATCTTGCTTGGTCCCGTTTTTAAGGGAAAAACCGGAACCCAGAGGTGCCCAGAGGTGGGCCGCTTTTAGGTCTAATAGAAGGACTGTTTGAATCGAACTCGATTCTGTTCGGAGGATCGAACTCGATTCTGGTCGGGGGATCACCATCGAGCACAGATGGTAGTAGTAGGAGTAGTTTTTCTATCGCAGGAGCAGTTATGATAAAATATCCCGGGACCTAATTTGTCGTCGAAAAGTTAATTTTTTTAGGACTCAGCCTTGTTTTACGGAGTTTGCGGAGATTCTACGGAGATTCTACGGAGCATGGCCCGCGGCTTCTGTGTGTGTGTGTGTGTGTGTATGTCGCCTGCTTTTGTTGGTAGGTATATGCAGCTCGACCGATGAGCACGTCCGGGCCCGAGATTGATTCTCGGGAACACGTGAGCTGCGGGTGTTGCGCATGGTCCTGCTTTGGACGCGCAATAGCAAAGACTCATCGACGGGCTGGGGCGGTGTCTAGG